AACGGAATTGGAGGTGTCAATATTTCCAGATGACGGAGGTAAAGATGTTGTAGAGGCTCAAGATAAATGATATGGGGGGGGTTTGAGCCACATTATTTTGGTAATAATGCATTCTTGAATAGTGTATTGATGGAAAATGTGTGGTTAAAAAATAAGGAAAAGTTTTTTATTTGCGTGTAATATTATTTTATTGAAAAATGTGTGATTGAAATGATATCAAATCACTGTTTAAGAATGCATTTTTTGGGAATAATGTGGCTCAAACAGGCACAAAATTTCTTTATTTTGTTGAACTTGTGTTATAAAGAAACATGTACGAATTTAATATGAAGTCTGATTTATATTTGTTATTTAACTATTTATATTTGATTAAATAAGTATAAAAAATTTATTAACTATGAAATTGACAAAATAAATTTATTTTAATCATCATGTCAACAATGTATCATGTCGGAACTTTTTCGAAAAATTGAGTGTCGCTGAGTCCGACACATATCACGTTGATTGTTCTTAGTTTGTGTGTATGTTGGGGTGTGACGGAATTGAGTGGGGGTTTTGGTTGAATAAAACAAGTTTTCAAAACAAAACTATAAGAGTAGTGTTAGTTTGTTTTAATCCACTTTCTCAACTCTTGCTCAGCCCATTTTTGAATAACTTGAATTTTTGAAGTTTTTAGCTCTACTAGTGAACTTTCCTTTTTATTGGCCTTCCTTGCTTTAATGTAAGTCATTTATCTTGGTTTCAACCGGTACTACTGCAATACTGCTTGTCATAGTCTGGAAACCCCATATCAGCTGTCTTTCCATTACTACCTTACATAGGACAATGCATTCAAAATTTATGATAGCTTATTATCTAGAGCAATATTTACTTTGATACAGTACATATGTTATTTTCAGTTTGATAATATTGCTCTGGAAAGTTTACCCTTCCCTGCCCCTTTAGAGTATCTGAGGTTTCTTGACAACTGTTCTATTATTTTAGTTATTGTCATGGCATAAATCTTTAGTGTCTACCTAAGTAGTACAGACTCTAGTCTGATTAAGAGGTCTATGAATAAGTTTATTCATCAAACAAAGTATTCAATTTTAGGTCGGTCTGAGATTAAGACAAAGATTTTCTTCATTTTAGGGCTTTGTTTTTTCATCAACATTATTATCATTTATCTTGCACATCATTCAATTAGGAGTCTAAACATTCTTAAATATGATTGCCTAAGAAACTGCGGGAAAAATGATGGATACTGATTTCATGTTTCTATAAGGAAAAGGATAGCTTAGCTCAAGCCACCTAGCAAAAGTTTTAGTAACAAAGCTAGAACAAAGTGCATGAAGCATGTTCAACCAAAACTATTTGTGGTTAATTTCTGCATATGAATCTCTTGGGCCCCATCATTGTAACTGATTCTCATTAGCAAATGATAACTCTTCTCTTGGTCTTTTTAATTAAGCAGGCATGGTTGGATTGTATTTGTTTTATACCTACAAAGAATTCTTCACTGAATTGTCAATGTGAAGTTTAGAATTATTATTTGGTTACTATCTAAGGTAACTCTGATTTTCCTTACAATTTAATGGCTTGCCTATCTTGCAGGATTGTTATGCTAGTTGAAGCAATATGTGCTGGGTTTTTTATAAGCATTTATATTAGTGAGTTTGAATGCAGACATTGATAAAATACTGAAACTAAAAACTCCTTTGTTATCGAATGTTTTAGAAATGGAAGTACTTGTTTTGAACGGTTGAACTTTCTCAGTACTTCTTCCCTTTTTGGCTATGGGAATTATATAAAAGAATATAGCCATGAGTAACTTTGTGACTCGAGCACTTACGTTTTCTTCTCACTGGCCTATTGAGTTTAAACAACAAATGAAGATGATTTTATTAACAAAGGATTGCTTTTACAAACCAAGCACACACCACTCTTAATTTATGTTAAAGGAAGCACTAAAGTTCCACTCTACAGCTCTTTCTCTCACATGCATGCTATACCATGTCTATCTTTTTTTCCTCTCACACACTTCAATCTCACTCTATCTCATCTCGTCTTCTCTTCTTTTTCTTTGTCGCTTGTGAAGGAATCGATTAGCTCTCTTAAACAAAGCTCTATGACCTTAATTTCAATGGATAGAAACTGTCCACTTCACAAATCGAATGTCATGTGCAAAGCATATGGAGTATAATGGATCAATCCGATCAGATATTTTGACATCAAAATGGATTAATAAAGGAAAGGAAAAAGTGTGAATCTTCTTCCCACCCCTATTAATTTGGCAGCCCATGCCCACTGATTTCGTACATCCTCGTCCCCACGCCACAAAAGCCCACACCTAAAAAGTGCTGGATCGTTGGGGAAGTGTACTTTTTTCCCCCTTCTCTTGTCATTTTCTTTGATTCTCTTTTTCTCCAGTTTAACTGAAATTTAGTGCTGGACCATCCCACTAATGTACTTCTATTTCTTTAGTTTTAACTAAAATTTGGAATACGATAATCTTCAAAAAATAAACTTCTTAACAATAGTTGTACGACAACTATATATTGGCGACGACAATTCCTTTTGTACAGAGGAATTGCTATTAGAATTTCACCATCTGGTTTTTTAATTTGTTTTTATTTTATTTTTTGAGTTGCCATTATCCGACAGATTGCTACCAAGTGTCACTTATATTAATTCGGACAACCAATTTATGTACATATAGCAGAGTTCTATTGGAGATTAAAGGCATAGCTTTTCAAACTTAACCCGGTCACTAATTCGCTGTCATGATTGGGTCGTCGATGAAGCGTGAATTAAAAATAGAAATTACACATAGTTGTTCTAGTTGAAATAATTATATCACTTCTATTAAAAGTAGCCTTTTTAGTGCTAGTTGAATGACAAAAAGGTCCTGCAATGGAATTGTTAAATAAAAGACAAGCAAGGATTACGCTATCTTAAGAGGTTTAAGCTATTTGTACACCTCACTTGACGCCTTTGTCGACGCCCTGATTACGTGGAAGTGTAATAGTTGGATTAAATGTATTAGTTGTCAACGACGGTGTGAAATTGTGTAAAGTGTAAATTCAGTAAGCTATGGTGTTAACTAAAATGTACATGTAGTAGGATTGGTAATGGGATAAAGAGAAAGGATTCTACTATACGTACATTGAGATTGACCCGTGCTTGCGAGGGAAGTGTGCGTTGGAGTGTCAATCTAGATGTATAAATAGCATTTTTACTAGAGGTGGGAGTGGGTCGATTCGGTTCGGTTCTCTTTAGAACCGAATCGAACCGAACTAAAATTTTCGGGTATCTAGTAACTGGAACCATCGGGTCCAAATATAATTATGGAACCGTTCGGGTTCGGTTCCGTTCGGGTTCGGTTCGATTCGGATCGGTTCCATTTAGTTCCGTACTATAATCAAAAATTTTAACATTTATAACTACATTATATAAATACAACTAATGACACATTCAATGGTTTTGAAATGTCAGATACTAGTAGACTAGCTTTTTTAAATGATCGATACGGACAAAGTTTCGGTCGGTGGAGGTCACAGTTTCAGTCGAAGGTTATAGCGTCGGCCTAGGTTTTGGAATGTCAGCGAGGCTACGAGAGTCGAGACAGAGTTATGCACTTCAGTGTAAGTGTTTAGGGTTATTTAGTGGGTTAGATCTTGTTGGGCTAAGAAATGAAACAATAACATGGGTAATTGGGCCAAAAAAAATTAGAAATGAAAAAAATTATTGCACCAAAAATTTGAATTTAGAAATTGTTAATTTGTTTAGAAAAAACTAAAATTAAAATAATTTGATTTATTTAATATAAAAAAATTAGAAAATTTTGGTTCTTATTCGGTTCTTCGGTTCTTGGTCTACAACCGTACCCGTCGGTTCTCAATTTAGATACCCGTTCGAATATTTAATTTGACAAGAATTGTCGAATTCGATTCGATCGATTCGACTCGAAAGATTTGCCCAACTCTAAATTTTACAAATAGCATTTTTCAAAGATAAAAGACTTTTAACAGATCTTGCCTCGAATTCTACACCGTCCTTTGTAACCCGGGCTCAGGGGCCAAAAAGGGGAGGTCCCTTGTTTTTGACAGGTAGAATTCCAGTATTTGTTGCCCCACAGTAGAGTGGGCCCAGTTAGCTAACTGACAGGATGCATAGTAGAGTAGTATCTAATATTCACTTTAACTAGTATACTTTCAGGACTGTGCTAGCACTGGCCCTTTGCATAGGGCTGTCACACCGGAATGGACCCAAAGGGACCAGGATCTTTTTCCATACTGTTAATAGGACCAATTGGGAGCCATAATCAATTCAAAAAACTAAATAAAAATATTTTGTTAAAAACTTGCATGAAATTAGGCTTATTAAGCCTTCGTTTGATGCCCATAAAAAATAATTTAATAAAAAGAAATGAACTTTGAAAAAGTAATTTTCTCAAGAATGTTGAGTTAAAAAATAAATAAAAAAATAAAAAATTCAAATTTACGTGCAAAATACTTTAATGTGAGAATGTTTGGTTGTAAATAAATTTTAAAGAAAATAAATTTTAGGACGGTAGACAAACCGGGCCTAAATATTAAATAAATTCCTATCAGATTTTCTTAATTATTTAAAGCCAAATAAAAAAGTTTTTCAAGTTTTATTCTAGTAAATGTATTAAGCGTTCGACATTGTAATATAATTCATTGAACATACATGCCCATTTTAGCACAAAAAATTTATAAAATTCATTGTTGGCTTGGTGGATGGCAAGTTTCATTTTGTGCAAGCTATTCAACCGTTCACTTGCAAACCGGTCCAATTAATTCAACCGGCCAGGTGTGCTGTCCGGTTTGCCAGGTCCTCGGCCCGGCCAATTTTTAAACAGTGGACTAGGGTGCTACTGAACTAAAAGCTTAAATACTAAAACTTTAAAATTAAAGACCAACCTACTTCAACTACGTAAAGGAATAAGAAACAAGTTCTAGCACATTTTCTAAATCAATCCAACAAAGCTGCAAACAATTTATCAGAAGCTTTATGACTCTGAACTTGCAGGGATGCCAATATTATTAGATCCCTAAGCTAAATGCTCATTAATATGGTAGTTCAACAAAAGTAAATGAATAATGTCGAAAAGTTTTCTTATGGCTATATATTCACTACGACTTTTGTTATACTAATATCTTACGCCGTGGCATTTAGTGGGACCCAAACTTGATGACCTGAACTTAACCACAGTGTTGGGGTCAGCACATATAGCACCAGAGGAATTCTGAGCAAAAGACCAACCCCAGCCAGTATTCCCTTTGCCATCTCTTGGTTTTCGGCCAGCTGAGGCAGAGCACATATATCTCCAAAGAATTTGTGATCCCGAAAGCTGAAATGGGCCATTAGCCTCTTAAGCATTTCATGGTCTTCATATCAGATCTCAATCTTGGACACTTGTCAATGAAAAGGCCAAATTCTTCCAAGGCCTACCTACTATATTGTCTCTGAAGTGTAGTGATACCTTTAACTTATATAGTTTCTTTGCAAATACTAAAACTCATGGCCAATGATGAACAAGAATCCGAATCACAAGAACTATTAAATTTCCTTCTTAACTAGCAAATGGTACAAAGAATTAGAGTAGCAATTTGCAAAATTGCAAGAGATTGCAAAAAAATTATCAGAAGGATTTTAGCCCTGCAATCTGTCGGAATTTCTCGTATGAGACCCAAAATACAAATTGCCAAGGACCAAGCCTAGCCCACGTAGGAAAAAATCCCTTCCACAGAGCCCTCAACCCTTCAATTCTAACAGTCTTCACAAGACAATCATAAGAATTCTTATATTTAACCTTGTTTTCATCATTGACAGCCTGATTCATCATTCTAGTCTTAACTACATCTGCTGGACAACTCAATGCAGTAGCTGATAGACCAGACATAATCGAAGATAGAGTGTGGGCATAAATATTATCATTACAGATCTGATTTTTGATAACTAAACGTTTTGCATGATCATAACAAGCCAATTCTCCCATGTTTACTAAAAATGCTCTCTGGACATTTGGAAAAACACCTTTCCAAAATCCTCCAAACCCTTCAGCATGAAAGATCTTTTTCAAAGCATCAAAAATCCCCGCGTACCTGGGTTGGAGGCCTTGGCTGACCATACGACCATCTGCTTGCATCCTTACCTTGACGAGATCAGCAGGGCTTGAAATTACCTATATTATAAAAAAAATTGAAATAATGAACATCACATCAAAAAAACTCGGTACAACTATTATTGGATGAATAACATTTCACCAAGATCATCATGACACTAAAATTCTGAAATAAAATTGTTCATATTACAGCAATGATCAGACATTACTGCCTAGTAATGGACAAATTTCGTACAACTATTATTTGATGAAAAACATTTCAGCAAGATCATAATGACATGAAAATTCTGAAATAAACTTGTTAATATTACAGCAATGTGCGGACATTACTGTCAAGGAATGGGCATACTTCGTAACAAACTAAATGTCTACCTGCAGGCATGTGAACACCAATGCTTAACCCTGTATAGCTACTATGTTAAAAAGGGAATTCATCTTTTCCCCCTCTCACATTTGATGATAGATGTACAAAGGGTATAAATTCGTATTATTATTTTCATGTAAGCTAAATACTCAAAAAATGCAAATTATTTTGAAATAAATAGTAAAGAACATAATGAATTTGATAAAGGCTAATGCCTAATGCAGAAAATCACATCTGAACAAAAATGTCATTTCCAAAATATTGTCAAGAAGTCTCCATACTATTCTATAGCCTGATCCCCCTGAGATTAGCCTTGCATATTTTATATAAAAAGGGCCTTCGACTTCACATTCACTTTCTCTTACTTCATTAAAGACTCGTCAATTTTATCACACCTTTTCCAAGGAAAAAACATAATATGAATGGAAGGCACAGATTAAAAGAAAGCTTCTCCTTCGCAAAATTTTCTAGTCCATTGACCCCAAAGATACACCATTTGTATTTTCTTTTTCAAGGTTTGATCCTAGGATGCTGCTTTAAGTTTGACAAGAAAGGACAGTAAAAATAACTACTGGGGCATAATTTTTCCCCTTGTATGTTTGAAATTTTGTTATAGTTATTAAGTACGTCTTCTGGGTATTTAATTAGTCAAACTTATGAAACATTTGTTGGAGGAAAATCTTTACAAACTTAAGAAGAGACAGTACTAAATGAAGTAATACATTGAAACAAATAGAATAATCTATGATGCACCGACACGGACACGTGTGTCTGATACTATATCTCTTGGATACGTGGACTCATGATTTTCAAAAAAGTACAGACACGCTACGTCGTAGACACGTTCATTAAATTCTTTAAAAATTTTCATTTATGTAGTTTAACTTCAATTTTATACTTCTTATTGATTTTTCTTATTGAAATTTTTAAATATAAGTACTTATTTGCTATTTACTAATAACTTGGAGTTAAAAATATATAACAACTATAGTAAGAAAGAAAAATGATTATTGTAGAGTGTCGGTATCGACATGTGTCGAACACAGACACGCTACCCTATTTAGAATGTCCGTGCTACAGAGATAATAATTATCATTGCTATTCTTAAAATTGATGGGGGCAAAACGAATAATATCTTTTATGACTTGTAGTTAAATACTGCTATTATAAAATGCAATTTGGGAATACAAGTCCCACAAGACCTGTATATAACTGCATGTTGGGCTGTTAATAAAAACATGCGTACAACTTCAGTGAGGTTGAGATAGATTTGCGGTAAAACAAGGAGAGTGAAAAATGAGTATGAGTGTGAGTGTGAATAGGTTAATTGGCATCAATGGAACATAAGTTGCATGTAACTGATTGTTAGGGCATATTCAACAAACACAGCTAGATGCTTAGGAAACGTGATCAAAAAGTATAATAGATAACCTAGAGGAAGATCTGAACCTAAAATCACAAGATTTAATATTATTAAAAGAACTACAACCTTTGTGATTTGACTTGAGATGACTTTCAATAGAGCAGAATGAAAAAATGGATCTGCATAGACACCAAGAAAGTATTAATAAGGTTGTCTAGGGTTGAATATATTTCAACAGTAAACCTACTTTCTTCCTTCTACCTTGATTATTCTCCCCCTTTCCATGCAAGAGGCATCAACCCGACAATTGTCTCTCTTTAATTCTCTCACATTCTATGCACACCTATTTCTTAGAAGGGCCAAGATCTTCATTTTATCACTTAGCAATTTCTAAATTGATTCACATACATATATTTACACATAAAGCTTTACTATCAGTCATTAAATCCCAGCACAGTCACATCCCATTTTCGCCTAAAAGCACCATACAGATGTGGGCATCTCATCCATATCCTATATAAGCAATTGTGTCAACAATTAGTTTTGAAGAAGATTAGAGAGCTATGATTCATTATTCTTCTCGGGCATAGAAGGTCAAGAGAGACGTTCCTATCATTTTCTAGGTTGACTCTAACATCTACTTGTTTCAACTCTTTTCATTATTCTCTTCATATATTTAGTTTCTAATCTTGTTCAACGTCCGTTAATCTTTCATCACGCTTTCCATCTTTGCTTTGTATGTATGACAAGGATAATCCAGTCAAGGTTGAACTTGCATCACTTAAGGAACTAAGTGGTAGGAACCTGATAATTGTGATTGTGTTAACAGGTACTGAGGGCAATGGAGACATCCATGAGAGGTCAAAAGTGCAGATCAGCTAACAATTATTTGGATTTGTAAAGATGTATTGGTACTAAACAATTTACAGATTCGAATTGAACTTGTATATGCCTTCTTCAATTTTGTACTGATGAAAACAGAAAGGAATCACAAAAAAAATTGAAAGAAATTACACATCATTGTCGAGCATCCAAGAGGCTCGACTCTCTCCCTTACAATTCTCCATTTTCTGAATGAATAACTGAATGACCCTCCCAGCCCTTTTATTGGCACTCAATTTATTCCAGACTAAATGCATATCACAAAATAATAAATTTTCCGTACAAGTAAAAAACACAAACGCAGATAGTTGCACAACCCTAGCGACAGAGACGCGTATGTTCAAAATATTTCAAGGTGAAGTTTCAGGTTTACCTACAGATTTGACACTCTGATTTCAGCCCTTCAGAGAAATTTTGAAAGGCAGTATATAAAACCATATTTTACAAGAATTCACTGCTACGATTGCTTGAATGAAGTCAACAAATTCAAAAATCTATTAATAAATCTTTACAATTGTCCGCGAATGCTCATCTCTTTCTTTGATGCCTCTCAAACACAAGACCAAAGACTAATTTACAATAAAAAAAAATCTAAGAGCCAAACATTCCCTATTGATAGCAAGAAACATCAATTGTAACTCAATCAATTAAATCTAGACTAAAAATATGGAAAATGGACAATCCTAACTACCCTCACAACCTAAAACTAAAACATTTTTTCCCTTTCCGCTATTCACAGAAGCACATATCACAGATAGCAAAACCATCATAAAGGAAACACATTGCTCTGAATTCAATCTAATAGGTGTCTTCTCTCACATACATCCTTATCATCAGTATGTTCAACCACACAACTCCGATAATAGAAATGCCACTGATAGAAACAACAATTAGGCCCTATTTGAGCCGCATAATTTGTTAAAAATACATTCCTAAACAGTGATTTGATATCATTTCAACCACACATTTTTCAATAAAATAATATTACACGCAAATCCAAAACTTTTCTTTATTTTTTAACCACACATTTTCCATCAATCTACTATTCCAAAATACATTATTTCAAAATAATGTCGTTCAAACACACACTTAATATAAGAACTAAGTTAGTGCAAATACATCATTTTCATATGAATCTGAGCATCAAATATAAAATTGCGCTAATTTCTCTACCAATTTTCGATAAACATGGTCTATGTCCACTAATAACTGAAACAACAATATAATATTACATTTGTCCAACCTTTCTTTCACCCTGCATTTCTAATACTAACCCATAAAATATTAGCTTTTTACGTAGAACGTCCATGAACATTTTACCTTTCTTTCCCTCATTTGCTCTAAAAGTTTACTCATTGACTTAGAACTTAAAGTAAATACAAAATAAAATAACACTAATCAATTCCCAAAGCCAAATCATATGGCCGTAAAGACTATTAAAAACAAGATATTTCACGACTATAAGTTCACTATAGATCGATTCTTACTTAAAATATAGTACAACAGAAATATAGAAAATGCCACTTTCTCCCAAATTATGCTCCTACACTCACAATTGAATGTCCATTCTTGACTTTCGCAATACACTAGACAGTTTAAAGCCGTATTATAATTTTACCTTTCCCTTAATAATTCAAGAAACTTCAAATAATAGTACTTGATGCCCATACTAGGCTCTCATTTGCTGTTCTGCAGACTATATACGTTATCAAAACATTACACACCGAAAGAATCGAAGCGAATAAGTCCTAATGTTAAACATCTAGTCTAAATAAGCCTGTAGATTCATTTAAATTTTGTCACAAGAAGTATTTAAATACCTGAGGAATAGATTCATTTAAATTTTGCCACATGGAGTGTATAAATACCTGAGCAATGACACCGGAAACGCCACCCATAACCGCTTTGCTAAAAAGGGAGGGCGAATTATCATAAGACGGCACTAAATTACGCAAATGCTCATACCCCACGATTCGAATCGGAGTATAGAAAAAGTGTCTAACGACGGCTGGGGATAAGCCTCTATACAGTCCAAAAACGCCGTCATCTTTTGCGATTTGAAAAACGATTCTGAACGCAGAAGCTTGCCGCGTTGATGGTAGAGACTCGCCGTGGAGTTGGAGCCTGGTTTTAATCAAATCGATTGGAAACGTAGTCGTCTCTGCTATCATTGCGGAGAGCGACGTCAGTAGGATCTTCTTGACATCAGAATCAGTTCGGCGATTCCGGTTGTCGTCGCCGGCCGCCATCGGTGGACTGGAGTCGAGCAATACGGTGTCGTTACGAGTTTGTTAGGCAACCCCTGTTACTCATCTTCTAGTTTATCCTATGAAAATTTTTATTGCAATTAAGGTCCAAAATTTTCTCATTATCGCTTTTATATCTCCATTTTTGTTGTTATATTCTATCATTAACCTTTAATTAATGAGTAAATCTTGTTTATTAATGATGATTTCTGTCCAAATTTATGTTAACATACATGAAAATGAGAGGCAAATATTTATTCAAACTTTTTTATTTAATTCTTTTGGTTTATTTAAAATTATGGGAGTAAATAAATCTTTTTATGTCCTTGCGAATTTGTTGGACGATAACAATCATCAAGAAAAAAATTTGCAAATTAATAGAGGGTTGAAAATAAGAATATGAAGAAAAAACTGAGGAAGTAAGTGCAACAATGAACAAAAATTGAAACATTCATTGCAATTAAAATGTGTGTGGACATAATTACACAAAAAGAAACCGTAATTATTTACGGTGATTCAGGCGATTTTAAGTTTGATATTCACCTTCACCCTATAACTCATGCGATTTTATTTCTTGTGTTTTACCATACGTAATTGGACCCATAGTTGAAGAACGTGAATCAAGTGTCCGTAAATCGAAATGGACCGAGAGGAACCGTGGTTTTATTGAAGGATCTTTATTATAAATGTTAATAAAAATAATAAGCAAAGCAAAGCAAATATAAACTAAATTAAATCATTAAGTAATAATGGGATAGAAAAATGATTTAATGTGGTCTAAAATTTGTTTTAGCATAAAATGAATGACAAAATTGAGAATAATTAAAATTATATGTATTACAACAAGTGAACCGTTTTGCACCAAATTTCATTACTATAATTTTGGTGTGAAAAAATTGAATTGGAGCTTCGTTTTCACACCAATTTGACGTTTTAAGCTATTTTGAAATTGGGTTAGAGATGCTCTTGACTTATGCTAAGGAACGTTAGTACGACAAATATTCAACAAATCTAACAAAAAATTATTAATCAATTAATTATGTGTCATGTTATAGTTATTTAACATAATCTAGACAATACTTAATAGCTTATTTCTCATTGTATATATTATAAAATTCTCAAAATGTATATATTTTAGACAATATTTCGGAGTGGTCGCCTCCCACCCCCTTCCCCACCACCATTGAAATTGTGCTTGGCTTTCAATTGAATTTTTCGTAGTTTGATATTTTGCTCTCTAACTCTGAATCACTGAGAAATAGTGTTGTTCGACTTTAAAGTTTACATTGACGATTTCGGTCAAATGGGGATCCACACATTTAAATAGATTGAAAACCTAGAGCTCCAATCTTGAAAGTTGGAGATCGCATAATCACACCACATAAAAAGTTGAGAAGTCTAGCTTAAATTTATCTGATTATTTTAATATTGGTTATCATGTAATTAAACGAAAAATTATATATAGATCTTAAAAATCTGCAACTTGTTAGTTTGAAATATTAAGTCATTGCTTGATGTAGATACAAATTAGACTTTTAGTTGATTTTGATAAATATTGATGAAATATGTGATTAAAAAAATTATGGATCTTAGGAAATGTATAATTAAATTAACTGTTGACTTAGATTTGAATTTTTTATCCACGCTAAACAAGAATTAATTCTTATATTGTTTTAAAGAAATTAGTAGTTATATTACCACCACAAAATTTATTAAATGTACCACATTATATTCACACCACAATCAAAATATAGTTTTTATAAATACACCACAACAAATTTACAATTATATTCCTAATTTTATAAAAAAATGAAAATCTTTTTATAGGTTTTAATAAATACACCACAACTAAACTTCTTCTTTTTCTTCTCTTCTAGACATTTCTTTCCACTGTGTACTTTTTTATGTTACGTGCATCCATGACTATATGGACTAGATGAGAAAAGAAGTAGAAAACCTTACCCATTTCTTCTCATCCAAATTATTAACAGAGATGGGTGAGGTTTTCTTCTCATTCACGCCAATTTTATTAATTATTTTTTTAAAGAAGGGAAAGATAAAGAAGAAGAAAACTTTATTTCAAAGAAATGGGTCTATATCTCTTTATTAGTGAACTTGATTTATAATTTTATAGAGGTCATTGAAATGTTTGAAAGTTATTAAAAGAAGATGAGCCAAATTACAGTACACACAAGGAGAGATGCATATATGCGATCTTTATTTTGTAATTTTTTGGAGAGTCTAAACTTTTAAGGATGAAATTTAAATTTTCGTCGACCTTTTTTGATATAAATTATTATATACCTAGTTTTAAATCCATGTATTTGTTCATTTTGATGAGTGAAGATTTTAGTGACATAATTAATTCTGTTTGGTACAACATGATTTTTCCGATTCTCTTGCTAATCTTAAAAATTATTGTATCACTGAAATGTTTCTCCTCCCTTCACTTTTCCTTTGGTCTGCATCATTCATAACTTTTATTCAAGATGGTATATAAACTGTTACTCCCTTTGGAGTATATGTTCTCCATGCTATTTTCCGGTAAAGAGTTGCATTTTGCAATTATAAGTTCTAACGAATTAAAAAATAAATAAATTATAAAGAATGATTTATACAGATTGATGAATTCTTACATGTGATATCATGGAACAAGACTAGCAATTATAGAAAAGAAGAAGAAGAAATTAGGTTTAGGTTTGTTGTGCGATTATAATGTGGTGTGATTAATTAAAATTATATTAAACCTAATTATGTAATTTTACTTAAAGCTATTTAAGTAAATAAGGAAAAGATTTAAAAATTGTGGTGCACTTAATAAATTTTGTTGTGGTAATATAATTACACTAAAAGAAATTCTATCACGTGTCAAAGATTTTATAGAAATCAAATTCATTTAAAAAATAAAGGACAATACTTGAGGTACATAATAGTGTCCATAATGTCCAAGTAACGTCCCCTCGGTCCCACATGCACCCCCTCTAACAGGGGGACGCCACTTGAGTATTATGGACACTATTATAGTGTCCATTATGTTCAAATAGAGTAATCCAAAAATAAATTCAACATTTTGTTATATTTATATAGTTTGAGAAGTTCAGAAACAAATCAAATTTCACCTGAATGCATGCCGTTATTAGATTAATTTTGTGTAGTCACTTTAATTTTGGATACTATATACGATTATGGCCCCCCACGTTGACACGTGTCCTGAATCAAACAAATTTGTTTTCGCAAATTAATTACATACAATATATTTTATTGTGCAAATGTGTATCTGAAAAAAGCAATGTTATTCATAGTGTAAACTATCGTTAGTCGCCCTAATGCATCAACTAATAAAATGTCAGATACATGCTATATTGGTTGACCTAGGGCTGTAGGCAAAAATCGTCAAACTGGAAAATTGAACCGAAATTGCATTTTAGAAACCGTCGATTTGGTGCCACGTGGACCCGATCAACAAAATGATTTTGACCCAAACCAAGACCGGTTTGGTTTGAGTTTGAGAATTTTAATTACAGTTTAAAACCAGACTGGACGGCGAAAAAATTATAAAAATAAAAAATGAATTTTTTTGAAAATTCATCCAAATATATAAAATTCAATAGTTTTTTCATTTATGAGTATTTTTGTCAATTTCTAATTTTCTAATACAAATATATTATTATTATTATTATCATCATCATCATCATCATCATCATCATCATCATCATCATCATTCAATAATCCTAATATCTAATGATCTCAATACTAATATAATCTATCAAAAATCCTTTTCCTCTTCAGAATTTAAATGAACTTCAGTCGACACCAAACACAGTTTTGAGTTACCGGCACCACACATTTTTTTTCAGATTTTTCACGCCACTTCAAAGTTGAATTGAAATTCATTATACCAAATCGGAGACAAAAAGATCCTAGACTTTCAATGATAATATTTGCTACAAATAAAGTTTCAAATCAATAATTTTTTCGGAACAAAATAAGGTAAGAATCTGAAATTAAATGTGTTTCGTAACATCATACAAACGTAAACTTGTGTAATTGTTATGTTTAGATATTATAAACAATTATTGTTTATAATAGTGTAATTGTTATGTTTAGAAGTGTATTGTAACGTTATTATATCGTCATTAACCTAAAAAAGAGTAACAAAAATGAAAAACTATATTTTTTAGTTTATTGTGATTTCACTTTGATTTAGTTGAAATTTAAATTTATAGTAGATATATTTAGCCCATATTTGAGCCATATTTTCCATATCATCATAATGAGAAAATTGACTGTTGCAAAGGAGGCTGTGTCTCACACACAAAACAACAGGTCAACAAAGGTGACCGAACTTGTGGGATAACGGTCCAAATTTTAATTTTTTTTGTCCCAAAAATTTGGTTCAAATAGGGGCATAGTTTGTTTTAGATTTATTGCTAGTAAAATATAAATATATATTGAACTCTATAAACTAATGGCATAAAAGTATACAGGCAAAAAAATATATGGAGAAATCGATGGTTTAAAATCGGATCAAACCCTTAAGTTTAGGTTTGAGTTTTTTTTCAAACCGTTCAAAATTGTTTTGTTTAGGTTTGAGTTTTTCTCAAATTGATTTAAACGGTTTGCTTTGAAAATTTGTCAAAAATCGATAAAATCGGACCGCTTACACCCCTAGGTTGACTGTTGATAGTTTTCATTATGAATATCATTATTAGGTTGAAAATGAGTATTAAAAAAAAAAAAGAAAAAAAAAGATAGAGTTTTCAAATAATGTTTATCAAACATGGATTTAGTATATATAGTCTGCTCAAATTGATTTTATGCCTCTGAAATATGTTTCTACGATTTTAGAATAGACATGACATACAAAATTTTTATTATTTAATTTGTCAATTACTTGAGATTTTTTATATTTTTTCTATCTCGAAATCATTTTATGGATATTTGGCATGGATTTTTTTCGTTTTAACATTATTACGACCTCCCGGTTCAAATTGGTCTGCTACTTTTATGGATGAATATTAATGAAGTACAAATAAAAAATTTCTCTTTTTTTTAGTAAATAGGATTCTATTTTAGGAAAAAAAACACACACACTCACACACACAAAAAAAGAAAAGAAAAGAGATATTTCTCAAAAATCCTTGTACAACCAGGCATAATATGTTTGCGTGGAAATTACATAGAATCCTACTTTTAAACAGGGCCCGCTCTGGCCCAAGGCTACCACGGCAGTAGCCTTGGGCCTCCGGCTATAATGGGGCCTCAAAAAAAAATTTAAAGCCCAAAAAATAATTATTATAAAATTTTCTCAATTTTCTTACATTAGATATTTCATGATAATGCAAATAACATAGGGATCTTCCTACCAATAATGTCTTTCAATTTATCACTGCTTTTGAATTTTTATTTTTAAATATAAGATATATTTTCATAATAAATAGTAGGCACCATCCTCATATCTCACTGATTTAATCGTGGCGTTCAGTGGATTTGTCGGATCCAATGGTGGCGGGGCTTATGTTGGATCCGGTGGTGACTATGTTTTTGTTGGTAGGGTGGTAGTGGATCTTGTTGCTAGCGGTGGTGCCGAGAGATGGCAGTGTTGGTTTGTTCCAAGGAGTGATGTGGTTGGTGTAACGATGATGGTGGTATGAGTGGTGATGGTGATGGATCTGACGGTGAAGTGACGTGTTGGTACAATGATGATTTCTTGTTGACAGGCCTGTGAAGGAGTGTGGTTGTGGTGGTAGTTTGAAAATGGTGGTGGTGGAGGCATCGACAATAGTGAGGTGATGACGTTTTGGATTTGATTTGTTGGTGGTGAGCGGATGGTGACATCAAGTGTTGGTGGTTGTCACATATTATTTGGTTGACCGTGATCATTAAATAGGTTAATTTGTAACCAATAAATAATATGCGGCCAATGAAAAAGATAAATTGTGATTTTATAATAAGTTATGAATTATAATATTTGTGATTTGTAATGATAAATAAATTGTAACTTATAAATTTTTGATTTGTAACTGTAAAATAATTTTTGACATATAAAAATTGTGATTTGTGACCGAAAAATAATACTTGACCAACTAAATCGTTAATTTGTGATCAAATTGTATAGATCTATAACTTTAATATATTTAATTAATTAAATTATAAATAAAATTTAATAAATATCTTATTTTTAAAATTTGAAACTTTTCTTCTTAATTTTGAAATGGATGATACTTAGTCGCTTAGTTATGAATTTTTCCCCATGTTTGCTTGATGATAAAATGGGCTTCAACTCTGCACGTGTAATTATTTGGGCCGGACGATCGAGTTGTGCCAAATTTTAACGGCCCAACCTTCTTCTTGTTAAGCTAAATGGCTTTGAAATGACTGGATACTTTTATTATTTATTTAAAAAATAAATTGATAGGTCAAATCTCCAAAGCATATTCTTCGTTGTTTGGTAATACGCACAAAAAAAAGGTCATTCAAGAAAATGTAGTGTCGTCTTCAAGATCAAAAGGAGAAACTAATTGATTGTTAGTTTGAAGATAAGCTCAAAAAATTCTCCAATCAAATGCAGATGCTTATTGTTGATTTCCAAATAAGCCCTAGTCAATGAAATTTTATTCTTGATTCTTTTTATGATTAATAATACTTTTTGTACATAAATGTAAACGATAATGTTGATCGAGATGGATAAGATAAGGTTCAGAGTACGTGAAAAACAGATCAGCGTATTGACATGTTAGGTATATTATAAAGACAGGAGTTAATGGAGTTAAAAAGAACAAATTTTATAGTGTACTTGCATATATATAAATATAAATATAATCGCATTATTTTAGAAAAATGAAAGGGCCCATTACCATGACTATCTAGAAGTATGGCCTCATTGTGCACTATATTAGCTCGTGAGATTTATTAGTTTTGGGTACACATCAATTTTAATGTTTAGATCATACTTTTAAAGCACAAACATGAGATGACTTTGGTCGGGGTAGACGGCTATGCTCAAGTTTTAGGAGAATATTCTTAAAAATGCTACATCTCTATTCGTATTAAGAATATTAAAAGTTAGTATTATGAACGGTGTTGAAAGATACGGACCGTCTTACAAGACTTTCTTTTATTTAAAAATTAAAAATAAAAGATGCAAAAATTGTTGGACTGATTTGTGTAACACCGTCTGTATCAAACTTTGTTCTGAAAAATCGAACTAATTCAAAATTTATAATCATGTTAAATCTTTGAATAAGCGTTCTGACGAAGTGAAACAATTGAACATATGTTACACTTCATACTTTGAAGCAAGAATGAGAATGCGAATAGAAGAATCACAATAAAGCAGTCAAGAAGTATATTCCTTATTATTATTAGCCAAAGAATGTAAGGATTTTGTAATTCATCATATTCCATATCCAAATGAATGGAGCTTATGACTTTTTATAATAAGAACCTCAGTTGTGAAGTGGCAAGATAATACCCACAAATAAAGTCACAAAAACTGTTCCCTCCCGCCCCAGTACTTATCTTGGCCCATTCATTCTTGACAAATGGCACGTGTCATCTTATTAAGTGGGTTTGATAGCTACATAATCAATTAAATTCGTAATATTTTATTTGTATTGAACTTAGGTTGAGAAGTTATATTAAGACTAGAATGGGGAAAAGCAATCTAATATCTCCACTTTATTGACTGAGATTTGAGTTACTTAAGGTGTAAATATATAGAAAGCGAACAATTTTCATAAATATCGTATTTTCTTGCACGTAAGATGGACACACAATACGATTTGTCAAACGTCTCTTCTAATTTTATTCAAACGAGAGCAAATCTCACCTGTAAAGTATAAATACTTGAACTGAATAAAACTAAAAGTCCAAAATTCTTTTGGTCAAACGCATATTTTTTATTATGAAAATTTGAGGAATGAGTTAGTTGTTGTCGATTTTATTCTACAAGTGTACGAATCGTGACAAGTAGTAAAGTGGATTTATGAGTCCGAATTATTGTTTTCTTGAGGACCATACTTTAACACTTAATTCAATTTTCTCTAACCACTATTTGACGAAAATAAACAAAAACGATGATCGATTGTGATTTTTGATCTAACTACTTAAAATACGAATGGGTGCAACAAAATGTTATTTGGAATTCAAATAATAAATGGATGTTAGGGCGGAACAAATTCACCTATTGGTCATATTTACTTCTAATATCGAGATTCACAAAATCTAAAATAGTATTCGGTCGAATTCTTCTATTGTATTCAATTTACATCTCTCGAGTTCTCATTGAGCCTATTTGACTACTTCAATTCTATATCTCTATGCGAATCAAACTTAGTTAAATGTACTAATAGTTCTAAGAATTCATTTATGACCGTAACAATTAATATATGTATCTCTACACGTTATATTAATTTATCGAATTTTAACATGTGGTCTAAACAAAAATCCGCATCTTTACACAATCATTGTTCAAGATATTATTGAATAATTGGCTAAAAAATTCAAAACATTGAGAACATAATTAAAATCCACACATATATTCATAACGAACAAGAATATCAAATAAAAGAAATAAAGGGTCACAAATAGGTTACACTGTTTGCTCTAAAATTAGATTTAGCTACTCATAGTAATAAAAGAAAAACAAGAAATTATTATAGAAAACATAACCGGGTTTTGAATAAGAATATAGAATAATAAATCAATCTTGCACCAAGATCTTTTTCTCCTTCTAATTTATGCTTCAACCCTTGAATTGCTTGTTGTTTTTCTTCTTGAATTCTTCTCTTTAATCTCGAAGTGTGTCTCTTGTATCTTAATGTGTGAATCCCCTCAAAAGTGCAAAAAAATTGTATTTATAAGTGTCATTACCGTGTGTAGAAGGCAGAGTTTTCATCAAGACTCCAAAATGGGCCGAAATCTCGCTTAGGTTACGGATTGGTGGCGCCGCGGTGCTGCAAAAATAGGTGGTAACACCGCGGAGCCACATTTTGGACGAACAACATTTTTTTCAGTATTTTTATCGTAACTTTCTCTCTCGATATTCGATTGAGACGATTCAAGATGTGTTGGAAAGATAACTCAGGGTTACAACTTTTCTTCAGATATCATTTTCAAATTTGATCATTTTCTATGTCAAAATCGAGTCTCAATATGAGGTTGAAAATGGTGTATAACTTTTTTTCCAGTTTGAACTTGATGTATGATCATATTTTGATTATATTTAATCTCTTTGATGTCTTTCTTTATCTAATTGACTCCGAGAAATCTTAAATCTTCATCATGAGGTCCGACACAATTTTTGAGTATTTGCACTTTAATCCCCGAACTTTGGATATCTTATAACTTAGCCATTTTCTCTAATTTTGTCCACTTTTGCATCTTCCACTTTTTTGTACCATCATTGAATTTCACCTATTCAACATCAAATAAAACAATTTAGACCATAATTCATCCAAAAAGCAATTAAATATCATCGTTTTAAAGTCTTGAATAAGTGTATAAAATACACTTATCATTAGTCTTGGCATGAAGTTCGTTAAATTACCACAAGCAAACAAGAAAATTGGGAATAAGATAAAAAAAAATAAAAAATAAAGATAAAGTATATTCCAAGCCAGTGTTATTTCTCATTTGGCCCCCATTATTTCTCATTACATTAAATTAAATTTTTCTCTCTCCTATTTTTAATTACACAATCTTCAATAAAATAATATTACACGTAAATCAAAAACTTTTCTTTTATTTTCATCCACTCATTTTTCAAAAAAATACTATTCAAAACATTAAAATTTCTAAATAATGGAGCTCAAACAGGGGCGTAATGTCATAAGATGACAAAATATTCTCTAATATAAATGTGGACCCAATTCTTCTTAACAAACATTTTAAACACTTGATTCCTTTTTCCATCATATAATTCTCTTCATTAGCACCCACCCCCACCAAAGACTAAAGTTTTTGTTATTCTTGACATAAAATGGTAGGACGAAATGGTTCTGATCTTCCTCCTGGTTTTAGATTTCATCCCACGGATGAAGAATTAATCATGTATTATCTTCGAAATCAGGCTAAATCGGGGCCTTGTGACGTATCAATTATTTCAGAAGTCAATATTTACAAGTTTGATCCTTGGGAATTGCCTGGTCAGTATACACGATAACTTGCTTATGTGCCATTCTTGTGTTGGTTACGATACACGATCAATGTTTTGATATATATTTTGTGTGTATTTCATGGTGCAGACAAAGCTGAATTTGGAGAAAAAGAATGGTACTTCTTTACTCCTCGAGATAGGAAGTATCCAAATGGGGCGAGGCCAAATAGATCAGCCGTTTCAGGTTATTGGAAAGCCACAGGCACTGATAAAGCCATCTATAGTAGATCTAAATTTGTAGGAATCAAGAAAGCTCTTGTATTTTACATGGGAAGGCCTCCAAAGGGCATCAAGACTGATTGGATTATGCATGAATATCGATTGAGTGAGTCGAGATCACAACCTCCCAAGCAAAATGGCTCAATGAGGGTAAGCTTTCTTTTCTTGCTTGCATATACAGTAACTTCGATTGGATAAGACTATAAACATATTTACATGTTACCAAACAAGTTGGACAAGATATTTGTTTATTACAAAAGCTACTTATTTTGAAAATTCTTACTTTAAGGTCACAATAAGTCGTTTACTTTTATTTCTAATTTTTAGCTATGAAAGAAAACTTGTTTATTTTAAAACTTATTTATTTACGGGTAAACTTTTTAAGCTTAATTAAACATGCAAACATCTCACATGCCTTGTATTATATTTATGATGTTCAATTTGACGTGTCAAACGCGTTAGGTCATTTTCGAGCCTATAAACTGACTTTATATCTTCTGTGTTTCATATCTATCAGTTGGATGATTGGGTGCTGTGTAGAATCTACAAGAAACAGAATTCGGGAAAAGCTGCTGAGCAAAAAGTTGAAAATCCAATAGCCCAAAATATAACTCTTAACAATGCTCCCATTGTACATCAACAACAACAACAACAACAAGAAGCAACAAAATTCCCCAGACCTTGTTCTCTAACTCATCTCTGGGAATTTGGTTACATGGGTTCAATTTCCCATCTTTCGATGGATAATTCTTTAAATAATAATGTGCCCTTTGATCATCAGAACTCAATGAGCAACAATGGAAATTTTTCTGAGACATCAAGGTTAGGACAAGTGCAGCTACCATACACAGATGCCATGAAGCTTCAAGGGAATTATCAGCCAAATTTTGTGAATCCAGACTATCCAATTCATGAATTTCAGTGAAAATCTTGGTTTGAGATTGGATGAGGATCAAAAGGTGGAAACTGTACAAAAAGTGGCTAATTAATTTGTCATTGTCAACATAAAGATATTATCTTGAAAGTCTTTTCAGATTTGATCTGCACAAGAATTGTGATATAGTGTTTTTCTATGTATCCTATATGGATAAAAAATTGCTTGTATTCTAGATTTTTAAGGTTTCGAGAATAATTTATAGATTCCTCTTTTATGTTCAAAATTACATTATGCCCCTATTTGGTACTGTTAAAAAATTTAATTAAAATTTAAGTTAAAGTTAACAATTAATTTTAATAACATATTTTATAGGACACAATTTATCAATCACATATTTAATCAACTTTTATCAAAATCAACAAAAATAATCTAAGTTTAATCTCTACCAAAAAGGAACAATATATATTTTGTAATTGTTGAGCGATGTGATCTAAACTTTGATAATGCTGTGTGTATATCTGGATTGACACCTTAGACGACACTCCACGCACATGGGGTGAGGCCCGAGCCTAATAAAATAATCGTGACCCCACCACCATGTGTGTGGAATATCATCTGTGGTATTAATCCGAATGTACACATTGCAGAACCGTCTAAACTTTAACTCGCACTTATGAGTAAGGGATTTTAGCTAATTTGTGGGGGCCCTCATAATTTTGTATTTACACTGACAGTATAACTGTAGATTTATTAGCTGCGTCTTCGCAAGCACAAACTTGGTGACTTCAAACAATTAATACGAATAAAAAATAATTAAGCAAAGACTTTTTGATTTGTCTGGAGCAAAACAAGAAAAAGTTGGCGCCGCCATTTGAAAAGCAGGCTAAGAAAGTTGTCGCTAATTGGAATTCAGATTAATTTGTGGAAAAAACCGCTGCCAGATCACGTTAAGTGATTAAGACAATGGTCAAGATAGAAATAAACTATTAGAAAAAATTAAGTTAAGTATATCGTATAACGTATTTTAAATGACTTTTACTTTTACTTCTTACGAAAGTACTATAAGAAAAAATTATTTTAAATAAGCGTATTATATAAGTTCTTTTAAAAGGAAAAATATTTTTAAAAAATTATCCAATTTAAATAATTTCTTTAATCTCAAAAATAACTTTGAACCTTTCAAAAATCATGTCAAATGGTCATGAAAAGCATATTATTTGATAGACGGTGAAGAATAATTTTCTCACTGAATTACTAAACATAGTTGAGGAAAGCTCTTTACAGATTAAGACGTGAATAACAACTTAAATGGTGCATGGATACAATGAATTATTATCTAACTGATTATGACATTTTAGACTTTCACTCAAATTAAAGCTTTTTCTTTTTTGGATAAGAACAAATTTTAATAATTTAACTTGTTGTGTTCAATTTGTTCTCGACTTTCAGTACAAGATATTTTGACCGTTCTTAAATTGAAACCTACTCGTGAGTTTCCTTGACTATGAATGATGAAATTGTAACATAAAAGAAAATGCTCAAAATTGTTTAGGACTTTGAACGGGTCAATTGAGGTTAACTTAGTATCATATAGACGTTGAAATGTACATAAACTATCTCATTTAAATTGTCATCAAATAAACATTACGTGAGTATATAATAGTGCTTACTTCATAGATCTTCATGCAAAGCCGCCATAGAAGAACTGTTACAACTGAGAGTGGCTTATCAAATATCTGGTCCGGTCGTGCCAATGCCGTCTCAGCAACCTCATATTTGTCATCCATTAATGTCATTTTCCTCAAAAGTACAATGAATCAATCAAGTTTACGCTTGACCAAATTGTTCTCATCTAATCTTTTTGTCCAAGAATGCATGCAATACAAGTTATTTGAGATGAAGTGGGCTCAACGACAGGCACATTTCGACACGTTTAAATCAGTCAATACATTTTGATTGCTCTAAATTAATATGACTATGCAAAGTTTGTTGGATACAGAAAAACGAAGAAAACTTGAGCAGAAAAACAAAATTCCGTGGAGCCCACACATGCAATTTCAAGAAAATACAGCAAGAATCTGGTGGCAACGCTTTAAATGTTGGAATAATTAATAATTCCATATGTGGACTTCACATTCGATTGCAAATTTTACGGGTTAGATATATGGTTCATAATGATATTTGTGATTGAGCTAAATTTATTAAGTGATCAATTGGGCCTTTTACACGTTACGAGTTGTAATTAATTTGATGTGGTAATTTAAAGTATGTGGGCCGAAAATAAACCATAATTAGAATTCTAGTCGTAATGGGACGACTCAATTATTTCTTATATAAAGGTTAGGTTCCCTCTCCTCTCCATATGTTTTATTGGCTTGTCCCATTGATAGCTAATACTTTGTGAGGAGCAAGGAGAGGAAGATCTTGACTGCTATTACAACTGTTTTTCATATCAACAATGGCTTTCGCAATTATGAATTCATTTTATTAATTTATTATATGGTGGTTCTTGATTCTCGGCATGATTACAAATAAGTTTCAACATTAAATTCCTTAAAAAACCGCAACCAAACTTTTTCAGATATGCCAGACGTAGATATCCGAGGCTAACACATGAAGTGAAATTTCCTTCATGGCAAGGGACCTATCTCCACTATTGGTTTTGTAACTCCCGTAAGGTCGCACAAACAATTACGCCACCAGCATTTGGATTAGTAAACGCAATTCCGGATCTATAAATGCTCTGTGAAGACAAGAGAGAATGTTGTGACTGTGATGGGTTGTCATGAAGATGATATGCTACCTTGTAAAGAGCCTTCTTCACAGAAATAGCTTCCCCAGTTATCTGAGATTTATAAAAAGTCAGTACTCACTGGTCCAGCTATTTCATGCACAACCAAAAGCCATTATTCAAAACCACTAGATACCAAAAGTTACAAAATTAGTTCATGCAAAGGGTATGCGTGGCATACAATACTAGATAGTATTGCACACGATAAAAGACAAGATTTGAACTAGTTTATATTCTTTAATCCTATCCAGTAGCGTCCACTCAACAATAAGATTAAGTCTCACTTCTCAATTCGAAAACCTTGCAAATGTTGGTGTTGAGAATCGTGCCAAATAATTAAAGGACAAAAAAATATGGACAATATGAAAAAATAATATATCACACAACAAACATGATTGTTGTAGAATAAGAGGAGAGTTTATTATACCAAGAAACTAAAATTGTTTTTACAAAATTTAATTTTCTCAATCTAAATCTAAACCATTCTCTCAAGTTTCTAATGTATACAACAATGATCTAATGTTATCTTGAGCCTACTGTTCATGAAATTTATTCTTTCGATTTAAAATACTGCAAGTGTACGGTTCATTAACAAATAATAAAGTGGTTCAATTGAGTCCGAATGTCATTTCATAGAGATTGAGCAGTTCAATTTTATCTAACATAGCCTTAACCGAATCTAATTTATCCAAAGTGAATTTTTCTACCTAAAAAAACCCTAAATTAAAAAAAAAAAAAAAAAAAAAAAAAACCCTAATTATAGAAAACCCTAGTTTTACAAACATGATATTTGAATGAATTAAATATGCAAAATGATGTTCTTTATATGAATTAGATTGCAATGTGATGGTTGGGACGCAAATTGATTGTATTCAATGAAAATTAAACGCACTGGGATCATGATTTCTCATGCAATGATCACTTTAAACCCTAGTTTCACAATATGACAACACAATTGAATTATTGAAGAATCAATACTCATAAATCTATCCAATACTCTCTCTCGAGCAGTATTGAACCTATTCTTATATACCACCAGCCTATATCTCTATGATGGATGTATATATATAAGAATGCATAAGGTTTTATGAGCACTTAAAGATTCACGCAAAGCATAAAGGTATATCTCTATCCCTTATCGGACTCTACGATGATTTATACCTTATCGAATTTATTTTCCTTCTCTTGCCACGTATCACATAATTACGTGCACTTAATTATGGAAATCAATTAATGTATATAAATCACTCAAATAATCAAATACGTGTTTTACTGTTGAATTGCAAGACTAGAAATCCAAAGATCACATCACATGGTTCATCGATCTCCTAGTACAAGAATATTTAGCCTAACATGGAGATGATAACAAAATACATGATTTCTCGAAGATAAAACATCACCGGGTTATGAATTCACATGAAATCTCGATGATTTTCGTGAAATCCTTCGTTACTCTCACTCAAAATCTTTTCCAAGATGTGTTTTATTACCTCCTAATGCATTCTCCTCCGAAATCTGACGAGTCTAGATTTTTATATCGCATCCCAATTTAGTTCCAAAAGAGTTTTAATGAAAACAGGAAACTGCAAAATCGCGTCAAAAGTTTCTACCATGCGACCGCATGGTACACTTGGTTTTGGTTCTGGAATTCCCTGGACTCCCTTGCACGACCACATGGTAGAAGTAATTTCCAATTCCTGCCGTTTTGGTCCCCAAACTCTATTTTCTTGCTTATTGGTCTCCTTTCTTTGTCCATCCTATCCCATGGTCTTACAATGATTTCCAATTAGTACTTAGCTCATTTGCATTCTTGACTCACCCTTTAGTTCAACTTTTGGGCATTTGCACTTTGGTCCCTAATCTTATAATTTCCTTTATTTTGGTCTATTTCGCTTCTTTTTCTCGTGAATTTTATCATGTCCATCAATATAACCTACAATACACGAATTAGAAAAAAAATTAAGCCATAATTCAAACACTTTGCTCGTATTTAAGTAATGTTTGTAAACTAAATAAGTGCATAAAAATGCACTTATTAAACTCCCCAAACTGAACTATTGTTTGTCCTCAAATAAAATAGTGACTTAGCGCTAACATACATGGGTTAATAACCTGCCGTGTCTCAGGATTGGACTTTAGTGTTTGTAATTGGAAGAAGTTTTAATAGTGCATGAATGAAATCAACCTTTACATGTTAAGTGCATACTTGACGTGTGTGTGAACTTATGCCAACATATCAAGTTTATGATGGAGTTCTTTCCGACCTAGAGTGGTCAATTATGTCCTCACTTCGCTCGAGAAATACACAACCCCCCAAACTTATTCTTTTCACTTAATTATCTCGAGGTTGTGTTTTAAGGTTAGGGTTTTAGTAACTGTAATCCTTGCCCTCTCTTAGTTTAAATAGATTTTACTATCCCAAGTTCTCATATCAACAAGTGAAGGCTCTCTTCGATTTGATTGTTTCAACATTTAAGATTAAACTAAATTACTTG